TCTTGTGTTTTGTGTGTGTGACATTGTTGGCTTTCGGTCTGAAGAACTCCTTTCAGCATTTCTTAAACAATTGGTCTGGTTTTGGTTTGTTTGTTTGTTTTTCTTCCTTTAATTTCTCTTTATGTGGAAATGTTCCAATTTCGCCCGAACAATTTTGCTGGATATACAATTCTTGGTCAGCAATTTTTTTCTTTCAAGGTTTTCTACATTATATTGCCTTCTTGTCTGCATTGTTTTCTACTGAGAAACTAGAGCACAGTAGTATTGGTACTCCTTTGTCGGTAATGCTTTGTTTCCATGCGTTGCTCTTAGGATTCTTTTCTTTTGCGGTCAGTCCTAGCCGGGGTTTGTTGTACCTCTTGAATATATATCTTCTCATCTTTCATAATCTCAGGGAAGTTTTCTGCCAACAATTCTTTTAATGATTTTCTACGTGCTTTTTCGTTTTGTCTCTACCTGCTGTTGAATTCTGTTCATGCTTAAGTTATTCTTCTTGATGGATGTCCCAAATAATTATTAGACTTTCTTCATTTTTCCTCATTGTTTTTCTGCCTGGTTGTTCTCTAAAACAGGGGTGCTTACCACATGTGTCCATATAGCACAGCACAACACAATTAACTATGTACATTTTTGTCATTACCTGCGTTTACTCTGATGACTTGCACTGAATGGAATGAGCCAGGGATGCATAGTCTGGACAGTAGGTAGCAGGATTTTAACATATGAGTCTTGAGAGGTTGCTGTGGGCCACTGAAGCTATCAGAGTGGCAGTCACTCAGCAGGGGTTGGGGGGATTTGGGCCAGGTGGTCTCTGGGAAGGGAATGAAGTGTCTAACCACCATCACCTATCCATTATTTTCTCTTCTCTATCTCCTTTTGATGAGTGAATTTTTCAGGATTAAGATATTTTATTGTAATTCCTATTTGCGTCACTCTAATGGTTAACGAAGTAGCCCCGGTTGCGTAGTTGGTTATGTGCTGAACTGCTAACTGCAAGCTCAGCAATTTGAACCCACCAGTCACTCTACAGGAGAAAGATGAGGCCTTTGGTCACTGTAAAGATGTATAGCCTGATAAAGCTACAGGGGCCATTCTCTTTCCCATAGGGTGGCTTGAGTGGAATCAACTTGGTGACAGTGAGTCTGGTTTGGTGTGTGTGTTTGGAATGTTGAATGATCACAAGCATCCACTTGAATGTCTTCTGTGGTGAAATATCTTCTCTTGCCCATTTTTTGATTGGATGGTTTGTCTGTTTGAAGTTTTCTTTTTATTTTAGAGATTAGACCCTTGTCACATAATGTCATTGTTAAGCATTTTCCTTCAGATTTTAGGTGCTCTTTTTTCAGTGAAGTCTTTTGATGAGTGTACATGGTAAATTTTTAGAGGTTCCAATAATAGTGTATGTAAGTGCAGAGTTTAAATAAGTGCATTTGTTAAGTCTAGTAAGTTATTCAATATAATACACCCAACTCATTGCACCTGAAATATCTACAACATTCCAAACAGGACACCGGACAGCCACTCAGATGAAAGTGCCCAGAGCAAGCCCAGACTCCACCAGTGTGTGCTCCTCTTCTGGGAAGACACCTCAGTACTGTCACTGGTTTGGAGTCTCACATGAAATCAAATGGTTTTCAATAACAGGAGATTAGACTTTGCCTGGGACACCCAGAAGGGAAAGTCCATGATGAAGCTAGAATGTCCCCAATATACTCCAGTGATGGCTCCACCCAGGTCCTTAGGGACTGGGACATTGAAGCCGTGAGGAGCAGTGTCCCACCTGGTCCTCTCCCAGGCTGGGATCTAGTCCAGCTTGACCAGTAACATGCTATGACACCATGACTCAGTCCCTTCACTGCTCCTGGCCTCTGTTACCTCCTCTGTGACATGATGACCCCAAGAGCCCTACCTTTTCTGTGATTTTTAGCCATACACCCCCCCATCATCTCACCCCTAACCCAGTAAGACATAA